CCCCCCAAAGCCTAGCCCCGCCATCACAAATCCCCTTTTGATTCATGTGATTTTCCTTCGATTTCATGCCTTATCTGACCTCACCTCTCTACTGGTTATACAATTTCTATGTTGCTTGATGTGAATCCCAAGAGACTCGAACCAAATCTGGTTCAAAGTCTCTCATTTCTCGATTATTCGTCTATGTTCACTCCGATACTTGTGAGTATGAGTATTTTCGTATTTTTGGGGTTTCAAATCTCTGGTTCAAACCTTATTTGATTCGCTTCTGTCTATTTTCTGGTTGAATCCGTTTAGATCTCTTTAGATCTGAAGCGATTTTGTGTTTGTTTGGTATTTCTCCCTTAAAATTTTCTGTTTTTATTATTATTATTGACCGATTTCATTTACCCTAAAAGTTAGGGCTTTGATTTCTGATGGATTTATGCAAAAAAGGTTTTAGCGTTTAAATATTTTCATCTCTGATTTTCTTATTTACTTTTTCGACTGATTCTTACTTGATTTAATCAAGCTCCATCTATATGTCTTTGTATTTCTTAGGGTTTCGATTATTTGACTATTTATTCTACTGTCTTTTGCCCGTTTACCTTTAATTCTGTCAATTAAGTATTAATTAATTCTACTTACCTAAATTAGGGTTTGGGAATCAGCTTTTCTTTTAGTACCAGTATTGCCTTATTAAGATTTTACCTATTCTTACCTTATTTATGTGATTAATTATTCGTACTACTGGCTTGATTTTGTGTTCTGACTCCTAATTGATTTTGGAATTAGTTCTCACCTTATTTAACCTTATTCTTAATTACTAATTGATTCAGTGTGAGATTTTCCTTAAATTAAGTGATACTTAATCGATTCTGTCCTGTTAATTGATTCATGCTGACCTTAATTGATTGTTAATTGATTTTCATACCTTATTTGTGTGTGATTGGTTCATTACCTTATTTGTTTTACTCTATTGTATGCATAAAAACCCTTCCCTTGTTCTAATTTTGAACACGCTTTACAAACCTTCAACAGAATAACTTTACCATTCTCGAACTCTCTGTTCTCACAAAACCTTAAGTTCTCTCTTTACTCCTTTGTTCTGATTTCTACACTAAGAGGCTCTTATTTGGTCGGTTGAAAGCCAAGGCCAAATTCTCTGGATTTTAACTGCTATTGTATTCCTGTTTGCTTTCTTCTCAACTGGTATGCCTTAACTCCTACTATTCTGTTCTCCATGCTTTATTTGATTAATCTGTTTCAATCTTCAGCATGATTCTGTTTGCCATATGACTGTATGATTCCACTTAGTGATAATACTAAACTAAGTTGTCTCCAATAATGTGAAACCCTGTCCAATTCAGTTGTACGTTCCCTGTTCTGACTATTGTTAGATACTGCAAGCATGTAATGTGTGGCTAATTCCGTATGTTAGTTCAAGTATCCTTGCTTTTGTGATTACTTTAAATGCTGGTATGAGTATCTAGTCTGAACAAATATCAACTTAGTTGAATTATATGCTGAACATGAGTTTTGTTTGTGCATTTATGTTAATGTTCTGTATGCACTGGTTTCTAAATATGTCCCCCTTACCCTTACCCTTCTGAAAATTAGCTATTTTTCTAAAACTGTCCCCTTACCCTCTATGTACTGGTTTTCAGATTGCTACTCTTAGTCCTTTAGGTTCCTACCACTCTCAGTGTGACCACTGCCTAGGGTCCTTGAAATTCCTCTGAACTCTGACATATTGGGGTTGGTCTTCCAATCTTTTATGAACTGTTTCTTTGAGTGTGGCCCTGGTGTGAGCATTGCCTCGGGTCCCTGAGGCCCTTGGGAACTTTGACACACTAGGAGCCTAATTTTATGTGCTATGGATGGACTACCATTATGCTTCAAAGTTGCTATGTTTGAAGGCCTGGTTCCCAGGTTCATATTGGGCCTACGAAGGCTCCCTATAGTGTAATGGATAGTGCTATGTAATTTATTCATTCCGGGTTGTAATAATCTTTGTACTAAACAGATTTGGGGCTTATTAGTAAAAGCTGGAGGGGGGGTTTCCTTATATCTTTGTTAAACTCGGATAGAAATCCGGCCTATAGGTTTATTGTATTATGTGAACGACATACTTGTAGAGATCCTGCCTATCGGATTTTTCTGATTGTTTGTGACTCTGTATTTCCACATTTCTTGGCATACTAGAGATACTGCCTATAGGTCTCCTATTAACTCTGCATTAGAAATCCTATTCATAGGATCTACACAGATTTCCAATCCTAACGTGCATTAGTGATCATGTATATAGGATTCAATTTGTGTGAATTAACAAACTTTCCTGGCGATGTACTTAAAATTCTGCCCACACGTTATTAATAGATTTCACGCCTATAGAAAATTAAAATCAGCTTCAACTTAGATACCATGCCTATAGGAACAAAAGGAATCAAATCAACACCTAGAAATCATGTCTATAGGATTCAAACTAACAAATATCATGCGTGTATGGTGAAATCAGTTTGTAAGCTTAGAAATCATGTCTATAGGAGTTAAATTAATTTTGCAACTTAGAAAGCGTGCCTACATGATCTAAAAGGGATAAAACATGTCATTATGGGTTAAAATCAGTAACTTGCTTAGAAACCATGTTATAGCTCTATAATTAACTGTTGTAGATACCATGCCTATAGGATTTTGTTAATCACTTAGGCAAATCTGTAGGGTTATTAATGATTCTGGGGTCTAAAACTGTCATATCTTACTGCCTCAAAGTGCCTAGATTCAAGGCTTAATAACAATCAGTAGGCAAATTGATAGGTCCCGAGCCCGCCTTAGTAAAATGCTATCTTGCAGTCTATTTCTGCTCATCTAGACACCATGCCTATAGGATCCTAAATTAACGAAATCTGCTGATTTAGCTGCGTGCATTTGTTGTCTACTTGTGGAGGTTAATATGAGCCCTTATTTGCTCCTTACATGATAGTCCTATTTGAATATTGTTTGTCGCCTAGCTTTTCTCATTTTAAACAACATAGGTCAGTCTAGAACTACCCTACATAGAGGTCCTAAATACCTCCAGGACCATAGGTAAGGGATGGGTAGTGCACGCATAAGGCACGAGTTAGAAGCTATTAGAACGCTTAGGTAACAACTGAAAGATAGTAATTGGGTAGTAAAGAAAATGATAGCCCATGCACTAATGCTATGAGTAAAACCCCGACTTGAGGGAGTTGCAAAGCGTTGCATGGAATGATCCTATAGGCTAAAAAACTTAGGACCACCATCTGTCCAAATTGTTTTCTTCCCTTCTAAGACTAATTCGCTTAATTTAAGTTCGGCCGGGACCCACCGTTGTGGACCTCGAGAGGTGCCTAACACCTTCCCCTCAAGGTAACTTCGAGCCCTTACTCAATCTCTGGTGATGTAAACTAGTTTCATGAGTTAACTGCTCTAGGTGCCCTAACGCACCTTAATCCATTAGGTGGCGACTCTTCAAATCCCTTACCCCATCCATAAAGGAAGGGAGTTGTCTCAGAAATGTCAAAACCTGATTTCGCGAGAAAAAGGGGGCGCGACAGCATGGTGATTGTTCATTTTATTATTGTTTGAAGTTGTTCTGATCGGGTCACATGAAATGTGCATCCGAATTTGGAAATTAGGTATCATGACTATGCCATGGGAACCGTACCCATAGTCACGATGATTTATTATAAACACGCCTAAAGCAAACTACGAATGTTCAAAGTATTTTCTACACTAGTTACGAATGCTCAACGTATTTTCCACACTAGTTTATGTATTAATGTGAGGGCTATAGATTATGAAATTCATTTGTGGATGGCACGCCTCAATTTATCTTGAAATCTATAGGAATACGCTTTAATTAATCCCATCATTTGCAATTTTCGCAGAGTAAACTGAGCTGGACCCATGAGGTTCCCAGATTCGACTTTATTTGTATGTGCTATATATACAAGAAACAATTTCAATCACAAAATAAAACTGTTCATACAACCAACAACGTGGAAAGATCACACCTTAAAAGCCCAATCATTTTAACTGAATGTCCATATCCTCTTTCAAGATATTAGTGTTTGGCCCACATCTGGGCTCACATCAAAGAGGCCCAAAACTAGAGTTGTACAGAAAGACTAAAATGGACAAAGGCCTTCATACGGAAACTTTACATGCTTGCCGAGCCCAATGAACATTAAATCAAACAATTATAATGGTCTAAAACAAATAACAGAACAGAGTCGCGAAAGGGATTATCAAAGAAATTTTATCATGTTTATATCATTAATGAAGATAACATATGATCAGAGTAACAAAATTCATATAGTTCTGCAAACAGCTTTCAGATAAATTACAGCCATCCTTAAGTTCGAACACATCTATATGAGAATTGCAGAATACATCTTTGACTCCGGATTTGAATTGTAACAAAATTTATACTCCAATTGAGAAAACAGTCCTTCGCACATATCTTCATAATCCTAATTCTTCAACTTATACCCATTGGAATTTACAGAGGATGCATATTCTACAAGACCATTTACCAAAGATAGAAAATCACTTAAGTCCTAAACTACAAATTAAACTACATTATGGCCAGATCTGGAATGACTAGTCCTTGAGTCAATTACCTTATTAGAACATAAAAGATAAACCCAAATGTCAGCGATTAGACCTCAAATATAAGCGCATGTACTTAATGATGAAATATAGGCTGGATTCTAGATAAACATGTGAAGTCAAATATAATTCAAGTCATGAAATCACTGTTGAAACAATCTGCCTTTCAGATGTCAATCTATAACAGGCTTCAAATAATGACCATATCAAAACTAAACTTTCTATTCATATTCAAAGCAAGATAGGCGGTAGATGTAAACAAACACAACAAATGTTTTCAGAAAAATACCCAACATTTTATTGTAGATCAAAATAAGATATAGATGTGAGATGTGTACCTAAACTTGCCAAATCAAGGCTAAGAAAACCACTACTGGATGAGCTCAACAAGATTAACAAACAGAAATAGCAGAAGTCGGCTTATATTCTCAATCCACAACAGCTTATGATCCAAGAAAACACTAAACTCAGCAGAAGAAAACCCAAACCACAGCTTCAAGAATCCATTTCTCTTCTCAATCCCAGAAAAACAAAAACTTCAAAGACTAAAGAAGAAAGTTTCCAGTTCTGAAAAAAACAAATTCTTTGAGTGTGTTTTCTCTTTTTGTTTTGCTATGCTTTCTGCCGTTTTTCTATCTTTTTTTTCCTCCCCTAGTGATTGGAAAAGGGATCTTTTATAGAGGAGATTTAGGGCAACAGAGCCTGTTTTTCCTCATTCAAATGCACCCCTTAAACCTTTAACTTAATTCACTTACACCCTTGCCCATAGAATTTCCCTCTCTCTTTCCTAAAATGGTCCTTGTCAGCCCTTATCTAGAAGCTTCCATTTGTTAGGATAAGATTCCCTCAACCCCAATTCAACTGAACCCCTAGTACTCTTGTAATCACCCTTTTACCATTCTGTTTTTAACCCTTCAGTGATACTGGACCTCTAGGCCATTTAACCAATAAGCCCAATATCCTAATTGGGCTTTTGCACTAACAACCCTAATTCTGAACCCATCCAATAAATAGAATCAAATTCAAAGAAGGTTTAAACAAACAAACTTGGTTTAAAACGGGAAAACATATTTTTAAAATGCACTCAAAAATAACATTAACAAATGCGATTAATCTAATTAATGAGTTATTACTACTGACGAATCAATCATGACCAGAAAACAAACTTTTAGACATAAATTTGTTATCACATGAGGGGTTATGTATAGGAGGAGAGGTATACCGATTAAATCGCCAAAAGCTTCGACAACCCGGAGAAAAGCAGTAACGAATCGATTGGAACTCCGACGAACAAGAAACTCGGCCCATGGTGGAAATTGTAACATGAACACTGGCCGGACTTTCTTTCACAGCTAGTGCTTCATGTCACAATCCTCAACATATGCCAAGAAAGAGACGAGGTAGAGGTTTCAAGCCATTTTGGACAGTTAATGTTTATTTTCCCGGAAACCAGCCAATCTGTGAAATAGGCCATCCTTAACATTAATCGACTCCTCACGTTGAAAATAGGGGATTCAAGTGAGTTTCATCATGAATTGAGGGCCAGGTCATGAGAAATCGAACAAAAAGCAAAAAGTTCGGATTTTATTCTTAGATTTCTAATTCGAAGAAAATGAGTGGTCTTTTGGAGGAATCAATGGCGGAATATGAACGAGGGGGTGATGGAGGTTGTGTGGTTGAAATATGAGGGGATTTGGAGGTAGTCCGCCGCCGTGAGACGATTTCCGGGCGGCGGAGGAACGGCGGAAGGGGGCGGCGGTATTGAGAGACTGGGATTTTAGGTCTAAGTTTAATTGGGGTGAATTATGAGGCCAGGGGGTTGGGTTTAGTCTTTTAATGGGGTAAAAGAGTTGAAATGACGTAGTTTAGAAGTGCATCTATGTCGTTTTGGTGAGGGGAGATTGGACCGGGTTTTGAAGGGAATTGGCTGGACATGGGCGTGGGTGGACTGGGATATTTGGGCCATTAGAAATTGGCCCAAACCAAATATTTGCACATTTCCTTTCAATTGTTTCTTTCTTTTCTTTTTCTTTTCTTTAATTTTAAAACCCTAATTAAATTAATTAAGTCCTAAATTAAATTCTAAATTAATATCACCTATAAAATCAAACTAATTATCTATTTATAATAATTACAAAATTAGTTAATCCTAAATTAATGAAGAGGAAAATACTAATCTAATATTAAAAGCTAAAATGTAAAAAATAAAAAATACTTTTTTTTGTGATTTTCATTTTAATAAAGCAATTAATTAACTAATTTATCCTAAAATGTGAACACAAAAACCTAATATGCAATGCAAGAAACTTTTGATATTTTTTGGGGTATTTTTCATGATTTTAACTAAATAAAACGTGCACAAAAATGCAAACAATTAATGAAAATCCTACAAAAATCCCATAAAATTGACAACAATTTGAAAAAAAAAATCTATTTTCTTTACTTTTGTAGGAGTAATTCTAATAGGGCAAAAATCACATGCTCACACTAAGCACTGCCTTCTCTTTGCACGAGACTAAGCCCTGTCTCAAACCTTGCATGAGGCTAAGCCTGCCTCCATATTTGCATAAGGCTAAGCATTGCCTTCTCTCTGCATGAGACTAAGCCCTGTCTCGAATTCTGCATGAGGCTAAGTCCTGCCTCCATATTTGCATAAGCCAAGCATTGCCTTCTCTCTGCATGAGACTAAGTCATGTCTCAAATCTTGCATGAGGCTAAGCCCTGCCTCCATATTTGCATAAGGCTAAGCATTGCCTTCTCTCTGCATGAGACTAAGCCCTGTCTCAAATCTTGCATGAGGCTGTGCCATGCCTCCATATTTGCATGAGACTAAGCCCTGCCTCCCTGTATGCGTTAAAATCGGACGGTCCAATTTTCGGCCATTACGACGCTTCGTAAGCACGTCAGTCAAAGGCTCGAGGGTACGGTCGAGATTTACGCTCGAGGGGCTCGAGACAATACAGGTCGACAAGTATGAAGAAAAAGTGGGAAGTTCCCAAGGCGCATGACTAGGGCTGACAACGCCTAGTAGGCTGGTTCAGACCTGTATCCTAGCATTAATTAGCTGTATCAATCTCATATCTTTGTAATGAATGCATTTGTACTATATGGGGATTCCCCCTGATATATAAGGGGGATCCTTGTCACTTTGTAGGAGGATCTGATACTCAATATCCAATACAAGAACATTCTCTCTGCTCTCTAACTTAACATATTGTCTTGTTCTTATTGCTTCATCTATTACTTACATTTATTGTGTTCCATTTATTGTTCTTCATTTATTGCTTATTATTGGCCATAAAGAGCCGCCATTGACTTTATCATAGCTATTATTCGTCCATCGACTGCCCCCGGCAGGATATCAGACTCGATCTCGAGACCTCGAATAGGCAAGCTCGTGGCCCCGATTATCAGCTAATTGGTTTGGTTACCACCTTGTTCTTAAGCTCTTATTTCATTTTCTAATCTCTTACTTAGCATCTATTTCCTAAACAACTAGCATAAAAATAGATCACGTATTTTTAGAACCACAAAATCAAATCTAATTGTAACTACCATTTTCAAGGTAAACAGTTTGGCGCCCACCGTAGGGCTAAAAATAATAGTGATTATTTTCTTGCTGGTTTGCTACCAATACTAGAAATTACAGCTATTGCAACCCTTGGAAAATTGTTGCAATAGACACGCTAACTGTCCCTGTAGGGCTATTGGGACGGATTTAGACGCGTTTCGGGATTCAGCGTTACAATAGGTCTGTTGGAACGGTTATTTGCAACGGTTTGAAAACTGTCTCCATATATAGGGATATTGTAACGGTTTGGGCTTGTACTATTGTTCTACCTATATGAACGGTATTCTTTTCTGTTGGGACGGTTTTAAACCGTTCTGGTATAATAATACAACCGATTTTATAAGTCTATTGCAACGGTTTTCATGATATATTGCAACGATTTTTGTGATATATTGGAACAATTATTAGTATCCTATTGCAACGGATATTATAACATATTGCAACGGTTATTAGGTGTTTCTCTTATTATTTGCTAGGTCTATTGGAACGGTTATATTCTCTATCGCAACAATTCACAATTGTAATTTCTGAAATTTATGGAAGCAAAATGAGGAATATTTTCCTATTCAATGAACTTTTTTACACCATAACTTATATTAACCACGAAATAAAATTAAAATATCCAACTAGCATTATTCTTATACAAAAATAAAATATGAATACGTTGTTTGATCAACAATTCAAAAGTCAAAATAGATGAGTTTGCATACAAAAAGTTCTAAACTAAAATATCCTTAAACATAATAATAGAAAGTCTAACAACGATCAACAACACTCAAAGTAAGGTCTTCGTCACTGCTTTCATCCGCAATTGCTGCACCTACAAAATACAATGAGAAATTAAAGAAAATTTTTAGGATAATTGAATCACAAAGTAATTGAATGACCAATTTGATAAGTCGAAAATGATCAAACTCTCTAAATTCTTAAATTTTTCAGCAAAGTTTCCTTTGTAAATATGACTATCCCAAAATTTTCAACCTGCTCAAAATATCATTTGAAATACCACTATTCCAAATTTTTCAACCTGCTCAAAACATGATACAATTTTTATGCAAAACCTAAGATCCATCCACAAATCACGAGAAGAGTAGTTGTACTTTAAGCTAGCGTTTGGTCATAGATCCCAAATTTATTTTGAAAAATCTGATTTGGGTAAAGTTTGGTTTGAAGATAAAAATGTGTTTGGACATACGATTTCAAAACATATTTTTCAACTTTATTTTGGGAAAACATGTATATAATTCCCAAGTTTTAGAAATTTGGTTAGCTGAATTTGAGATTTCAAATATGTGATTTGAGTTTTGGCCAAAATGTGGGTCAAATTTATGGCCAAACATGAGATTTGAAAATAAATTTCAAATTAAATTTGGGAAAATGTATGGCCAAACAGGGGCTAAGCAACACACAACAAACTAGAATCCGCAACAGACAAACCAAATCAATCTCAAATGTCCCGGATGTTCAGGTCCCATGACAGATGCAAATGCCTCTACGGACTCATTGCCATTTTTGTTTTGTTGGGCTTCAATTTTCTCCATTGCAGCTTTCAAAGCAAATTCAAACAAATAGAACATATAAATAAAAAACAAACTAATAAAAACAAATAATTGATCTCGATATAACATCAGTTAAATATAATTTGTATAATTCTACTAGCTGCATCTTCATCTTAGCACTTGTATGATCGCCCATCTTTCCTTTTTCTTGTAGCTACAAAGACTTCTTTTGCTGATAAAGGATCCGAAGTTACCCTCTCGTTTTCCTAGTTACATGAAAGTGAGTTAGCATTCCTGACGATCTACCATGAACTAAACAATAGCCAAAAATGAGAAATTTTTTGCCATGACTTGCTAGTTACACACCAACTTAGAGCGAACTAAAGCAAAACTTCTTTTTCCAGCAGTGTGAGGATTCTTCAACTTTTTTCGATTCTCAATATTAATTTGGGACATTCTCTGCAAGAAGAAAGAAACATCAAACAACAACTTACAAGTAGGACATGAGAATTATAGTAATAGGACAATTTCATATCCTCTGTGCTCCATTCGCTCTAACCTCTACCTTTCTTTATATTCATTACAAGCAGATTTAGAGATTCACAGACTGAACCATTTTCTTTCTGTTGCATTCTTTATTTTTCTTGGGATCTGTTTGTCCTTTTCATGAAAGTCCACAACTAAAATTTCTTGTGTTATTTTGTTGGCACTCCTTAGTTTCTTATCTACTTATTCTTGGCTATCCTGAATTATCAATGAATAACTTCTTTATCAAAATTCAAATTATGGTTCTCCAATTTTTACTTGCTGGGGTGTATATTATATATAAGGGTGCAACAAATGCTTTGATAGCTCCAATGGAGAAATATGAGAAAGATGCCTTGTACTCTGCAATTCAAGGTTTTGTTGGAAATGAATGGAATGGTTCATATCTGTTTTTTAAATAGCAACAAAGTAAAAAAGCAAAAAAACCCAGCAGCCGTTAAGCAGAGAAAAAAGGGAAAAAGACAACAGCAGTGTATACATACTATCAAACCAACAAGCTGCATTTATCTTTGGCTAGTCTTTAAAAATAGCAGTAGCAGCGAACAGAGTGTATGCAGTAGCAACAAGAAGAAGTTTATGCAATAGCAACAAGGAGGAGGAAACATCTCCAGGAACTTTAAGAAGAACTTCAAGAAGAAGAAGAAGAACTTCAAGAAGTTCCAGAAGAAGTACACATACCTGGAGTTTCTCTGAGTTCCAATACCTAAGGAGTTCCTTAAACTGAGAAGCTGGAACATCTTCAGGGATATTTTGCAGTGGAGTTTCATCATTATGATAGGCGTCAAAGTGATCTTTTTTCAATCTACTTTTGTGCTTTCTCCAGGCAGCTTGTACTGATTCCAAAGTATAGTTTTTTTCCAGCTTCAGGAATATCATATTTATCCTATAATTGATATCAAATCTGTTAGTGCAGAAAATATGAAAGATTTTCAACCAAAAGTTAAAAGTTAAGAAGTTCAGACCTTGGTATATTCCCATAGAAGAAATTTCCATTGCCCATCGCAGAGCTATTTCTCAAGGACTAACAGCGAGTGAAAGAAATCTGTAACACATTATCATGCCGAGAACTCAACAGATTACCCATTTAACACCAAATACTCTTAAGACATGGTATCAAATCGTAAAAGACTGAGAACTAGTTTCACTACATACATACTATACGCTTATCCTATTTTAACCAAGTTAAACAATAATGTATTAGGAATCGAGCTCGTTAAAATTCTTACAGAATATTATTAAGTCCTAAAAATGTGTGTCCAACAAATAGATATTACACAAAACTTCCAATCTCATGTTATTACATTCAAGCAAGTTATTTCACACGTAACCTTTATAACATAAACAATAACTAGATCATGAGATCTAACCCAATGTCAAGTATATCAGTTATATTACATCCAAATTTAAGAGTAATACATGGTTAACACATAGACCTTCTGGATGATACGGTCTCCACACCCTGTTGCATATTCCAACAAGAAAGAAGAACATAATATATTAATTGATCTAATGATCTATAAGATGCAATTTGAAGAGTTCTACCTTGAGAGCTTATACTAATATTTATGAGCAGAACTCTAAAGATTAGAAATCCAGTAACTTCAACAACAACAAATAAGCCAAATACTCTCTGAAGTATGCAGTAATATGTGCCCGCTAAGTAATATTTATAGTCAAGGCCTTACTAACTAACATCACCACTTATTTCTATGCCCGATAAGTAATATTTCACTATAATGTTTAAATCAGACTTAGTGTGAAATTCTAAAATCTTATTTTTTTCCCAGTCAAAGAGAGAACAAAGAGGAAAAACATCAAACAGAATAAGAAGAAAAGCAAAGGACAACTTACAGTCTAAAACATGTAGATTTAACACATCCATTATTCCAACATCCTAAACAGTGAAAGTAGCTAGAAATTTTTAGATTTATAAGATACGAAAGACAAATTGTTCTTTAAGAATTAAACTCATGCATCAACAAAGACAAATATCATAGGATGAATTGAAGTAGTATACTAGCACTTGAAGTCAAGAGTTGATTCTGGAATAAGTACCTCTCCATTGCATTCTCGAGAATAACTTTGTCCCCAAAATGCACGATTAGCAATTTTATCTACATATTACAAACGAAATCAAAATGTTTGATAACAAAAGTTCCTAAACCATCTAAAATTTCAGCAATAATTCAAAAATCTTCTTAAGGTTTCAGGACAAAGATAGCATTAATATACTGGGTGAAAGTGGCGTACGTACGAAACTAACATAACTACGAAATATTAACTTCGTTAAAGATGGAATTGTCTCTATACAATTTTCTCTCTGCTATGATAGAAGTTTTTGAAAAATAGGTACCTATACTAGTTTCCTATAGATTTCTGAAGGTGGTCAACTTCAGATTCAAAGTGAGAACTGAATCAAAAGCATATCGTGAAATTATAAGAAGGGACCAACAATCAACCATCAACATTCAGTTGCTTATCTCTTGATTATTGATATGACCAAATTTCCAATCTTAGGGAAAACACTATAGCGTTGAGAGATGCGAAGCGGAACCAAAAGTAACAAACTATTCAACACAAAGCCTACACACAAAGGAAAGAAAATAAATTTCTTTACTAGAGCTTACCTTAACAGACCTAGAAGCGCGCCCTATTGAGGTGTGGCCAGAGGGGAAGACTCGCTGGAGATAGGATTTGACGGAGGGATTGGGGTTGGAAACAATTAGGGCTTGAGTGCTGGCTTTCTATATTCTCTAAGTGGGTATTCAGTAAGTGATATCACATATTCTGAATAAAGACCACTTATTAGGAATAAGAATAAAAATATTAATAAAAAAATTTGGACCGAAAGGTCGATGTTGCGCGGGTTTAGTAAATTAGAGAAGGAAAAATTGGAGGGAAAACACAACCGTCCCCATAGACAACTCTATTGAGACGGTTTAATATATCGTTCCTATAGAGTAATCTACGGTGACTGTTATATGACTATTGTAATGGTTTACTTTTATAACAGTACCACTAGGTTCGCCAGGCTATGGGAACGGTTATAACCGTGACAGTAGCCAGTCTATTGTAACGGTTCCATAACCGTTGATAAAATACCGTTGCAATAGGACAAATTTCTAGTAGTGTACATAACGCAAGTTATCTTTCACACTTTTTCTTGTTCAAGATCTTTGATTTCAGGTCAAAATGTCTAACTCAGTAAACGCACGTGAAAGCAACAATCTTGAAGACCATGGAGAAAATGGTGTTGACGTCCCAAGTGTTGGTGTACCACCACGAAACCCTGAGAATGCACCAGAACCAATTCCCGTGGACGTGGTCTCGCGCAACGCTCAACACGTCGAAATAAGCTCCCACACCAACAGGAGAATACACCAAGAAGATCAACAAGAAGCTCAGAAAACCCCGGCTCAGGAAGAATAAGGGGTTAGCCTTCATGCAATCTTCGAAATGTTGCAAGCACGACAGCTGGCGATTGCTCAGTTGCAAAGCCACAAAAAAACTCCCAGCACGGTAGCTCGGGAAACGGCTCCCCGAGCCGAGCAGGTACTAGGAAGATCAAGCAACAATGGGCCGGCTGCCGACCCCGCTATCATAAAATGCTCGAGGACCTCGCAAAGAGGGTCGAATCGGGCGGAAGAAGATAGAAGCCAATGACTAGGGTAGAATAACCGAGCCCCTAACACCGAAAACATATATACTTGTACCAAGTAATCGAAGAATACATTCCATCAAAGCATTTCGCGTTTCAAAAGAGTCTGCTATTTTTGCAAAAACGGCACTAGAGCCAAAAATGTCCCGAACACTCGGGGACTAGCACCAACAATTCAAAGCCACATGACCTCCGGGTCAGAAACGCCAATCTCATAAGCCCTCGGTGAGGCAACTCCATGTTTACAAGAAATGGCTCCCGAGCCAGGGAATTTTTGATGACTCGGGGACTGCCGCCAATAGCCAACCCCATCGACTTATCAAAACTTGAAGCCGTATGACCCCCGGGTCGGAGCTTCAGACTCGTGAGCCCTTAATGAGGCAACATCGCGATCATGAAACGGCCCCAGAGCCAAAAACGTCCCAAACACTCGGGGACTGACGTCGAAAACTCAAGACCACATGACCTTCGGGTGAAAAACTCTGAAATCGTAAGCCCTCAATGAGGCAATATCGAGTTTACAAGTAATGGCTCCCGAGCCAAGAAACTATCGATGACTCGGGGACTACTACCAATCGCCACCCCCATCGACTTATCAAAACCCGAGGCCATAAGACGGTATGCGGGCAGCCTCGGTCTCGTAAGACCTCAAGCAAGGCCCGAACCACATATGTACCAAGTGATCAAAACTACAAGACCTCAAGCAAGGCATGAACCACACTTGTACCAAGTGATCAAACCTGTGAGACCTCAAACAAGGCATGAACCGCACTTGTACCAAGTGACCAAAACTATAAGACCTCAAAGGCATGCAGAAACTTGTAAGCCCTTACAAAAGGCATAATCCCAATCTTAAAGTTAAGGCTATATATCGAACTTGTAAGACCCCTAAAAAGGTGTACCCTCGATATAGATGCCGAAACTATTTCACTCGAGAACTGAAAGGCTCCGGCCAAACACAATGACTACGGTCATAAGGCTGTACCAGCCAAACTAACGCGACTCAAGGACGCCCGACGTTTCTATAAAATCACAGGCCTTCAATTACTTCGAAAAAACTTCAAAAAGAACCGGTTAAACAGGCTACCCTCGACATCAGGCAAAAGAGCTTCGACCATGTCAGCTCCAAACTAAAGGCTTCGAGATACTCAGCCACCGGGCCAAACCTCCCGAGGTGCTCGATCATCGCCATATAACGGCTCACAATCGAGGTTTTTATCAAACCGTCCAAGAGTCAGGGAAACGAAACTTCAAAAGTCCTTAGCGAGGGAAAAATAAAGCCTACTAGAGGTCGTACCGACCCAATACGTAAGAGCCACTATCGCCAGCCCATATAAAAGGTCATACCGACCCGAGGCGTAAGAGCCACTATCGCCAGCCCATACTAGAGGTCATACCGACCCAATGCATAAGAGCCACTGTCGCCAGCTTATATAAAAGGTCATACCGACCAAAACGCGTAAGAGCCGAAGGGCCAGGTTTGAATTCAAAAACTTGAGGGTCAAATGAGCTCGAGTCGAAACCCGACTCAGAGACTGAACCCAAAACATTTAACCAAATATGCCTAAGGGCAATAGCCTAAGAGCTCAAACGCCGACTTATACTAAAAGGTCATACCGACCAAAGCGTGTAAGAGCCTACGGGCTAGCCTAAAGGGCCATACTATGAATCTAAGGGTTCCTTTTAACTCGGAGACCAGTTCTTCTGACTGATGGCTAACAAACATCGAAAGGTACATAAAAAACAAAGTCGCAAGACTTCTTTTGTACACATATGTGAAAGAATACAAGCTCCATTTACAATGTACTTTGAAGGTACCATATACAAAATTAGAAAAGGAAAGGCCTAATCTACGTCCCTCTCGGGGACTACGACCCATCGGTCTCTTTCTTGTTATCTTTGGCATCGGACAGAAAGAAGTTAGCGTCGTATTCGTCCGCCTTTGCCTGCTTTATCTCTTTCGAGAGATAAAAGCCCCTAACATGGATCTCCTCGAGGGTTTCCCTTTGAGATTTGCACCGTGCATACTCAAAGCTTCTGCTCTCACGGTCGAGAGCCTTCTCAGCTCAACTGGAGCATCGGCAGCGTCCTTCAAATAGACCGCCGCTTTCTTGTCACCCTTAGTTTGGCTCATTACGGCTTCGGCCCGGGTATCCACGGTCTCTACCTTCATCTTTAAAATTCCGATTCGAGCCTTGCAATCATGCTCGTTCGGACCAGGCTGTTCGCTCGAATGTTCCGGGACTGCACCTCAAGGGCGGAAGCCTTGGCCAAGGCATCCTTCTGGGTCCCGACCTGGGCTTTTAGCTCGTCGCGCTTAACCTGGCCAAATTTGCCCCAAAGTCGTTCCAGGTCCTCCGTTTTTCTCTGCAGCTGAAAGAGGAAAATATTAGCCTGCAAAAGCAGAAGGTGGAGCATGCATTGGCTCAAAACAAAGGTTACCTGTCTTTCAAGATAATCCTCGTAGTTCCGACTTCGATCCGCCTCATAGCGCAGGTACGCCAGCTCGTCCTCCTTTTTCGTACAAAGAAGCCTAAGAGATTTCTCTCCATCCAAAGCTTTCCGCAGCTTGGCCTCATGGCGAAGCAGCTCGGACTTAAGCTTGTCAAAGCCCTGCAAAAGAAAGCTCAATAAGAAAAGGTAGACGCGAAACTGAAAGAAGTCTATGCCGGCTGTCAAAACTTACCATGAAGCTAAGCCGCTGAGCCTCACCAAAGGTCGAGCATACATCCGATGGCTTAGTTTCCTCCGAAGTACCTTCGATAGGACAAGAGGGAGGCGGCGGATGACCCTTGTCCCTCGAAGTACCTTCGGTGGAAACATGAAACGGTGGTAAGGATGGAACTATTTTTTCAAGAATAGAGGCTTCAGAGGCCGGAAGCTCGGCCGACTCGTCTCTTCTAAACCTCAGAAAAGGACTCGCTTCGCTGCGAGCATCCTCACACCCTGAAGGCTCCTTCCGTTTTTTATCAATCCTCGACCCCGAGGTCGGCAGTCTCTCCTCCTCCCTAGGGGACACGGCCTCATCTCAGAAAATCCTCCAACACTTGCGTTGGCAGAGTCAGTGCGCTGTAAAGAAAGTACCTTTCTGAGAAAATAAGCCACTATGTGCCTACCATGGTGTTTTTCCTCCCATTTCCCCTTAAACAAAACTCGCCAGTTACGCTCATTATAAGTCGAGCGAGTCGCCAGCTCCCGAGCCCAGTCCGTCAGGTCAGAGACCTCGCACGGCGTCCATGAAATTGTTGCAGAAAGGGAAAGGAAGGCGCATTTACGGAACCTGCCTACGCCATAAGCAAGACTACGAAGGCACAAGTATATCAATTATGCGTGAAATTCCATTCCTCGGGAAATGGCAGAAACTCCATAGGGATAACATCAACAGTTCGTACTCGGACGAATCGGCTCATCCATCCCCGATCCCCGTCTTTGCCATCATCAATAACGAAAGGCGTGGCGGATTGACTTCGTAGGGTCAGCAGACCCCGATGGTGAAAAGGCCGATACAGCCTGATGAGATGACTAAGAGTGAATTCGAGCCCTGCCTCTTTCGTGAAGAACCTAATCATCAACACTATCCTCCAAAATGATGGGTGAACCTACGCCAAGGTAACCCGATATTTTCGATAGAAGTCAAGCACAACCCTAACAGGGGGGCCTAGCGTGAAGGGGTACGTGTATACGTTCAAAAACCCCTTAGCATGATCCTGATGCTCTCTCCCAGGGAAAGTACCCGCAGTACTACCTTTTCCCCCCATCCACAGTCTTTCCTCACTGACTCAAGGTGCCCCTCTCCTACTAAAGAAATAAACTTCGAAACATACTCCCGATGACCCCAAGCATCTTGATTCAAAAAGCCTTCAAGGGCAGAACTGCCCTCTCCTCGCCGAGCGGACCTTGGTGTGGCAGCCATAACTGTGGTAAAACTAGAAAATTCGAGAAAGGCCTTCAAAGTTGAAATGGTGAAGGTCCTAACACAGGAAAGGAAAGCTCTATAGAGGAGGATGACTACTCGGAATAGCGGAATCCTCAAAAGAAGGAATACAACCCTATATGTGGAGAGAGCGGCGACTATCCGCCTGCCTCAAAGGCCAATTAAAGATGCTAACTAAGCCATTTCTCG